GGGTGGGGTGGGGTGGGGTGGGGTGGGGTGGGGTGGGGTGGGAGCTTTCATGGAGTTGTCCGTACACCCCGTACAGCCTGCTCGTGGGGGTGATTGGCAGCTGATGCGGCGGCGGAGCGGCACCATCAGCAGCACAGCAAACAGTGCATCGGCCATGGCACAATAAAACACAACGTGGTCGCACGTGCACATACATACGTACATACATACGGGCGAACGTGCAGCCCGCAGCAGTCGCAGCAGCTGAGGCACTCCGGCAGCCGGGGGGTTTCCGGTGGCACTGAACGGCACTGAGGTAAGCGGCCCCCAGCCCCTCCCTCCACCCCGCCCCTCCTCCCCCCCCTCCCTCCCCTCGCTCCCCTCCGGCGGCGCAATCCGAGACCCCCCGAATAACCCCTCCAATACTCCACGCCCCAGCTCCCCAGACAAAGCAATGCCCACACCGTCACAGGGACAGAGCCTCATATACACCTTGGGCGGGGGCAGTCCCTGACCCGCCGGGTAGCCCTTCTCCAGGTGGTATATCTGCGCCGCCATTCGGGGCGGGGGGAAAGAGGGACCACGGCAGGCATAAACAAACATACATACATACATGACATACACACATACATACATACTTGCATACATACACTCGTGAAGGGTCCCACATTTAAGACAATTACTGGAGCTGCTGCTGCACACACACACACACACACACACGCACACACAGGATCAACCAAGAGGAATGGCAGCTTTAGCGGCAGTAGCGGCGGTAGCGGCGGTAGCGGGAGGACGCACACATCACGTAACGGTTAAAACCCCAAGTCCTTCACCAGGCAGGCACCGGACAGCCGTACCTCGATGTCCCAGGCGTCCCAGTACAACGGAATGTCCTCGTACAGTCTGCAGTGCAGAGCAGTACGACACAAGGCCTGAGTACGGCTGTGCTAGGTGAAGGTGTGTGTGTGTGTCCCTCCGGCGCCACGAGGGGACACACAACGGTGTTGTCAGGCAGCTGGTCTGTGTATGTGTGTGTATGTGTGTGTATGTGTGTGTATGTGTGTGTATGTGTGTATGAGTGTGTATGTGT